GTCTAAAAAACCAGGGTCTCAAATTCTCCACTTCACTTTGGATTTACACCAGGGTGGCACATTTTTAAACTGTCCCAAGGGGCTACAGGGAGCCCAGTAATAGTGTGAGAGTTTAGTTTTAATTTTTGTGATGAGATTTTTCAGCAGAAATAATTAGTGTGAATATTAGCAGTGGCCTAGTGAAAATATGGTTCAAGTATATATGAGAGTAAGGATTAGCGTGAAAGATGTGCAGTGTGGCTCTAACAAGTAAGATGCACATCTAGGAAAACACATCGAATTTCTCCAAGTCGCAAAACTCTGTGAGTGACACGATCCCAAAGGACTTCAGAAGCCTGAAATGCCCAGAGTAAATGATGGTGCAGTGAACTTCAGCAGTCAACTCCCCCCCCCCTCCCCCATTTTTGTGAATTTAATGCTTGTGAAAGATTCTGGGTTACTTGCTCTGGAGCAGTGAAATGCTCTTCTTAGGGCTTGTCTACACTGGCAATTTACAGCGCTGAAACTTTCTCGCTCATGGGTGTGAGGAACCCCTCCCACCCCCCCACTGGCAGCTACGCCCCTTGTGGAGGTGGTTTTTTAGAGCGCTGGGAGAGCGCGGCCACGGCAGCACTTCCGCATTGCCAGTGTAGACTAGCCCTTTGACGCTGCAGCAGTGCAGATTTCCCCTTGCCCGTTCCTTTTTATTGTACCTCAGCCCTGCTGCGATGGCAGTACCTTTACGGGCTAAAGGGTAGTTTGGCCTGCACGGCCAAGAAAGTTTCTGCACTGAGGCTACCGATAACTATGCCAATGATGATAATGACTTTGTGATTTTGGTCCCAGTCTGAGTAGCAGCTTTAACAGAGACCATCTGCTCATTTCACAAAGCTCATTGTACAGTAACCGCTTTTGGTCATTGCTGATCAGGGCTGGTTTTGAACGTGCCGTAGTGAGCTATAGTAAAAGCCTGTCTATCCCGTTTTTCTATTGCATTGTACCATCTGGTCCCTATAACTCTGAATTTTTTGAGTTTTGTTGTCAAACTTTTAGCACTGTGTTGAAAATATCAATGCTGCCAGCCCTAAACATTCTAAATATTTATCAGTCAATTGGCTTAAAAACAAAACAAATTGTAAAACTAATAAATGTGTGGTTTGCTTTATTTGCTTTTTGAACCTTTTGAGTTCATGTTTTAAGTTCTTATCTCTGCAGCCATAAGGGATAGACATTTACTTTTGTTTTAGAGATGAAAGCTGAAATTCTTTGAGTCACATGACTCCTCAAGCTGAGGCTTTAAGGATCACAGAATCCTAGACGATTAGGGTTGGAAGAGACCTCAGGAGGTCATCTACTCCAACCCTCTGCTCAAAGCAGGGCCAACCCCAACTAAATCATCCTAGCCAGGACTTTGTCAAGCTGGGCCTAACCAGACTCACACTAAGAGCGCCAGAGTTTGCAAAACTAAAATATTCTTCTAGGAGTATGTGTGCGCCTCAAATCACTTGGAGTACGAGACCTCTAATGTGTCCATGAAATCAAAACGTTGTCATGTAGATCGCAGTGGGAAAGATGGCCTCTATCACAGAGTTTAGCAACTCTGGCCATTTGTAGAAGAGGTCTTAATGGTTATTTACAGTCTTTAGGAAAGAGCAAGTGACTTTCTAATTATGATTGTGGATCGGAAACACGTATTACACAAGAAAAACATAGGGATGCCTACTAAGATGGTCAAAAATTGCAGACCAGGGGTTAGGAAAGAGCTCAGATTCACCAAAGGAAAAATCTGAGAGTGAAAATGCTCCCAAAGCACTCAATAAGCCTTAGCAGTGACAAGAGCTATTGCTGAATAAAAAACATTCTCATATGGAAAAAGAAAAGGAGTACTTGTGGCACCTTAGAGACTAACCAATTTATTTGAGCATAAGCTTTCGTGAGCTACAGCTCACTTCATCGGATGCGTACTGTGGAAAGTGTAGATGATCTTTTTATACACACAAAGCATGAAAAAATACCTCCCCCCACCCCACTCTCCTGCTGGTAATAGCTTATCTAAAGTGATCACTCTCTTTACAATGTGTATGATAATCAAATTGGGCCATTTCCAGCACAAATCCAGGTTTCCCCCCCCCCCCCCCCCACACACACACACAAACCCACTTTCCTGCTGGTAATAGCTTATCTAAAGTGACCACTCTCCTTACAATGTGTATGATAATAAAGGTGGGCCATTACCAGCACAAATCCAGGGTTTAACAAGATCTTCTACACTTTCCACAGTATGCATCCGATGAAGTGAGCTGTAGCTCACGAAAGCTTATGCTCAAATAAATTGGTTAGTCTCTAAGGTGCCACAAGTACTCCTTTTCTTTTTGTGAATACAGACTAACACGGCTGTTACTCTGAAATTCTCATATGGGTGTCTTCTGTCTGACGTTCAGTGCAACAGAACTTGATAAGGCTTCCAAAATAATTTGTTTAAAGGGTTCCTGCTTTATACTTTCCTGGTTTGTCATCTCAATATGCAAACTGAACCTTTATTAAAAGCCATGCTTTATGTAACAGGAGTAATATGTCTTTGCAGTTGTTGATTTATTAGTCAAAAACCTGTGTGCACATTGTAATTTAATTACATGGCTTTTGAAACTATAAGATACTGGTTATGGTCAGCCAATACATAAAAATGACTATAGCTCAATAATAATACTTTTGTGACCTTAAGCTGAAAGGTGCTAGACATGCAAAGTCATTCTTTTTCTACATTTCCGTTGATCTTAGCATTACAGTGTCCTTAAATACCTATCACCCGGCTGCTAGATACTATGGTGATGGGTTCATTAGAAACTGCTAAAACAACATACTAGTTAATACAGGTTTCTGTGTTGTTGATCCATAAGGGGATTTCACTAATGACTATCTGATAAACCTCCAAGAGCAAAGATTTGTTTTCATTCTGTCAGGAAAAACATGATGTGCTCTTTTTTTTTAGAAAGAATTTAATGCTCCTAGATTCATGGACTTCAACAGACACAGTGATAACCTTCATTGTCTCAAGCGACATCTACAAATCCATTGTAAACTAGTCCTTAAGGTTTGTGTGATCACTGTGTCCAGTGTTTAGATTATATGTATAAAAAGCATATGGTGTTCATGAACTAAAGTAAATACTATGAAATGATTTAGTCTATTGAGTTCAGCTGGAAAATCTGTGCGCTGCTTTAATTTTAAGTTTTGGGACAAGAATACTTTGACTCCTTCTTCATCGCCTCCATACTGCATGCATTACCATACAGTACAGCTTGCTTTTACATTTAGCAGGCTAGTATGCTGGGCCTTGAAGACAAGCCTTAATAGACTTAACATGTGAAAATCCTGCTCCAGTTTAAAATATCAAATTGTAGCGGTATGTGGCAATTCTCTGGCAGTATGAAGCTTCATTCTAATTCTCCATTGCAAGCTGGTACTCAGAGCTCTGCCCTCATTCACTGTGGAGCTCTGGGCAGAAACCATAAGGTTTGCGTGGTGGCTGCTTTACTACTGGCCGATAGTTTTCTTTAATAACTCAGAGCAATGCTGTGAAGATGCTGGCAGCAGTTGGCAGGCCTGGAAGTGGTTCATAGAGGGACAGGTCAATATTTTTTCTCCTCTTTTTCCTGTAGGAAGAGGCAGTATATAGATTTTAATCCATTATTAACCTTCATCCCTCCCTAGTACCCCAAAGTTGTTTGGAGGGATGGGGGCTAATCTTGATGAAGCTAAATGCATAGAAAAAAACCCAGCATAGTATTTCTGTGGGTCCCACACCGAGGGGATGCTATTTCCACAGCTTGGATATGAGGATCAGCAGGGGCAAGGGAAAGTCTCCCCATAAGATGTTACTGTGCTATATGTCCATAAGGCCCCTTTAAAAGGGCTCACTGCTGGGTGGGGCTGAGACCACAATTCTCCTCAGAGTCCATGGGAGTGGTAGGTGCCCTTCCCATCTCAACCTCAGACCCAGAGCTGGCACCTATTTGAGAATGGAAGTGGGTACACTGGCGGTTTCCAGCATGAAGACAGCTCAGATTTTCATCTTGTTTTTTAAATTAAACAGATTTTTCAAATTCCTTGACCCGTTGTTCTGATAATGGCCAATGTTTAACATGGGCCAGGAAGAGCAAATGGCTGCTGTCAGCTGTGGGGACACTGGAGCACATGGCACTGCCTCCAAAAGAAAAGAAAAGCCAATGCAACAATACAGGAACCAAACTTCCAGTTTTTATTAAAATAAAACAATCTTTTAGGTCTTTCAGTCCATTCCTTTGAGGAATAGCTTACTACAGTCATCTACTAGTGTAGGGTTATTCTCGTCTCCATTGGGGGGAAAAACAAAAACATCTGTAATATAACAGTATTTGTTCATTTCCTGACCGCAGGGGTGGAACAGAAAAGGGCAGTGTAAATGTTCCTGTATCTGTAAAGAATGAGGTGCCCATCAATGTTGTTTTTCTTAAATGTTACCCAGTATTAGGAATACATCCAGAGGTACGCTACACGCTGAACTGAACCAGCTACGCAGCTCAGCAAAGGAGGAGCAGCATAGGGTGGAGAGCTCACAGATGCTCATGATATGAAAAATTTGATTCAGTAAACAAAAAATGGTTGACTTTTTGTTTAAATGTAGTGTTCGTCTGGAATGAAAACTAGGGGGAAGGGAGGGAAGGACATTTGTAACCTGGGTCTAAAAAGATAATCTCTTCCCAGCTTGGAAGAGATGCAAGATTATACCCTAACATGTGAGACAGCTGCTGATTTGGGGCTTGATCCCCAAAGTCCATGGAAGGACTCCCATTGACTTAATGGATTTGGATCAAGGTTTTTGTACAGAGCTGCAGTCTTCAAAGTACTACTGCAGAAAACTACATAGACATGAGTCTCTGCAACGGTTCCCATCCTGCCTCACCACAAGGGCAGGTGGTTTTGATTTTTGCTTAAATGTTAAACAGTCTTTAAAACACAGGAAGGAGGGGCTAATAGAGGCCCCTTTTTTTCTCTTTTTTTTAAGCAATATGCAAAGGTGAGCAAAGGAAAACAAGTTGACATTCAGTGTCATTAACAAGGTTGTCCATGTATATTTCTGTCCTCAGGGCTCAAGTGCAAAGCCTATAGTTGTAGATATGCATGTTTACTAAATAATGCATAAAGAGCGAGAGCGCAAGTCAGCAGGTAGCCCAGACGATGGGTCCCAATTTAATAAATAAATAAATAAATAAAATCACTATTTATTAAAAGACAAGGGAATAGGGATAAATTTGCCCTTCTGCTGGCCAAGGCAGGCCTCTCTCCCCCATCTTTCAACTTTCCCCTTTACATTTTGAGATGTACACCCCATAGGGGTGCCATGTAAATTGCATCCATTGTGCATAGGGAATAAGGGTTTGGGGACATTCTCAGCACAGAGTAGGGCCACCAGGAAGCTTATGTACAGTAAATGGCACCCTTCTTTCTCCCGGTAATGGGCCCTTAGGATGAATTCTCTCTCCAAATTTATTTTTTCTTGTTAGCAGACACAGTGGAAACCTGGCTTAAGCAACTGCTCCTTGGGGGCTATCCAAAATCAGTTGCTTAATTAAAGTGGCCTTCTACGAAAGAGGGAGCAGAACTGTACTCCCACGTTGTTTTTAGACACACTTTAGGGTGCTCTCTTAAGATAAAAGTTACTCAAGAAGGACAGTCTCTTGTACTGGTCTCACTGTTAAAATACCCAGATTTATGTTAGTTCCATAGGGTTTTGTTTCAGATCTGGAACTCTCATTTGCTGGCTAAATCTTTTAGTTGCTTGCAATCAACATCTCCTCTTGTCTTCCTGGTTCATTGCTGGCTGACGCCACGCCCCATCTGCGTCTAGTGGGGAGGAGGTACCCACTCCCTGAGAACTGTCAGCATTTGGGGCTTCCTCTAGCTGGTGCAACTGTCTGCTTGCAGCTCTCTGCTGCTGTTCCTTTAGCTCTGTGTAGGAGCGGGAAAAAGTGTGAAAGATGGAAGTGACCGGAAAAGCCATCAGCAAAATACCACTCAAGATACTGCTCAGGGCTACTACCTGTCCTGGGATGCTCCGAGGAACCATGTCTCCATAGCCTACAGTTGTCATGGAGATAACAGCCCACCAATAGCTGGTGGGAACACTAGTGAATTCTTGCTTGGCTCCCAGTTCACTCTCTGCCAAATAAACCAGTGGAGAAAAGAGCGCCATGGCAACACAAAGGAAGAGGAGGAGGAGTCCAAATTCCCTGGTGCAGCGGCGCACCGTGAGTCCCAGTGTCTGCAGTCCCAGCGAATGGCGTGCCAGTCTCATGACATACAGGATTCGGAGAGCCCGCAAGAAGCGTAGAACCAGGCCCACTCGCTCCAAGTATTTGTTTCCTGCTCCACTGCCAGGCTTCCTGTTGCTGTTTTTGGCAGAGACCATATCCACTATCAGAGAGATGTAGAAAGGCAAGATGGCTAAGATGTCGATGATGTTGAGGGGGGTCTTCAGGAAGGCACACTTGCTTTCTGCCTGAATGGAGCGCAGGAGGAACTCAAAGGAAAACCAAGCCACGCAAACTGTCTCCAACACAAAGATGTCGTAGCACTTCTGAGAACATTCACCCTAACAGGAGGGGGAGAAAACAGAAAAGAATAAAAGACAAGGGATTTAGCCAAAGGACCAACGAATAAAAGTTTAATAGTGCTTCTTAAAGACACCCTCCAGTGTAGTTTAAAACTTATCCAAATCACTGGTAACAAAGAGAAAATAAACCACAGAAAATGTTTAGAATGGGTAATTGAAAACCAGAATAACGGATGTCAAGACAGAACACTGATGGCTTGACAGGCTGCCGATGAAGACTGAGGGCAGGTCTACATTAGAAACTTGCATTGCTGCACTGCTGTAGCCCTTCTGGTGAAGGCACTCTAAGCCAATGGGAGAGATCGCTCCCATTGGCTTAATAACTCCACCGCCATGAGACGCGGTACCTATGTCGGTGGGAGAAGTTGTCCCACTGATGTAGTGCTGTCTACACCAGCGCTTAGGTTGGTATAACTACGTTGCTCGGGTGTGTGGATTATTTACATGCCTGAGCGACGAAGTTATACTGAAGTAATTCTGTAGTGTAGATCAAAGCTGAGACTAATGTCCTGATCCTGCAGTGAGCTCTCTGTGATTGCATGGTACTACACCCAGAATATGAAGATGTTGAAAGAATGATGGGTCACAATTTATATCAATGAAACTTTAATACATAGTTCCTACAGAGTTAGATTTTTAATAAATAATTGACTTCCACCAATCAACATGCTGTTTATAACTGTGGCTTACGACAATCTATAATGCTTTTAAATGACATGCTTAGAATAGTCTATAACATTATTCACATGTGTAACATGCTTAACAATCTTAATAATTTATTAACCTTCTATAAAAACTACTTGGAACAGTGAGTAAGTATTTCTAAAAGAAAAAATAAAAACCCCCTCCCCTAACTCTGTTTTTTTTTTTTGGGAAAAAGATGTTTTTAGTTATTTACTTACTTATAACTAATCATAACAATTTTCCCTCGTACTGTTGGAGGCAGAGAATTATTTGAATAAATTCCTTCCACTGCAGACTGGCTTAATGGAAAATGAGCTTTTTATTCACAAAAGCTGCAAACAAACTAACCTCTGAGCACTTGAGCAGCAATGAATAATAATAATAATAATGACTGTCCTTTGATTGCTAATACACTGCCAATTCACAGCTATAGTGTTGCTATTAACTTTCATCCCAGTGGTAATCACCTTGAGCAAATAAACAGTTGCTGATTTACTTAGGATCACAGAACTGTTCTCATATTTAAATATTCATGTTGAAATGTTACTGTTTTACAGCAGGTTTTGGAGGAGTGGAGGGGCATTTGTTTAGCACCAATGTAAGACATCTTATTTGTTTGACTTCAGGATGGTTCATGAACTTTTATATATTAACATAACTCCTGTAGCCACAGACTGTATACGATTATCTTCTTCTCTCATTCTATTTTAAATTATATTTGACTGATATTTATCACCCATTTAAATGTGTCCTTTTGTCATGGGCAGCGGGCGGAACCTCCACTAGTGGGAGGCTAGCCTGCCGGCCCCGCCCCTTCTGCCTGCTGGCCCCGCCCCTCACAGCCCTGAAACCTGTCCCCCCCCCGATAACAGGAGGAGCCCTGAGTGCTCCCCGTGACCAGAGGAGCCCCAGCTCACCCAGCCCAGCCACCATATCCCATGGGGGCAGTTGCCTCTGGAAGGCTTTGCCTTACCTGGCCTATTATACCTGCCGCCAATGCTTTTTGTCAATGTTTACAGTTGGGAAATATTCTGGAAGGCCCTACTCCATTGGTTCTCAACCAGGGCTCCGTGGCACTGAGCCTCACAGTGCAAAAGCCGTCCCCACACACGCACCTGGTAGCTGAGCCAGGAGCCCTGACCCCCCCTCCCACTGGGCCCTGGAGTTTTTATAGTATGTTGGTGAGGGGGAACCTCAGAAAGAAAAAGGTTGAGAACGCCTGCCCTAGGCCTCTCTGGAGCACAAACCCTGCCATTTTATTTGATTTTTTACTGCCTCGGGTAGTTGAATGTTTTTTTTTTTTTTTAAATGGAGGACGGAGGAAGAGGCATCAGCGGTGCAAGTTGGTCCTGACCTTGTCTATGAACATGCTAGGATATTTGTGAATGTAAACAGATGTGTCCCCACATACACCATATCCCTCTTTAACTGTACAGCTGGCAACTTACAGACATCTTTTACTATGTAGGGCCATGGTCATAACTTTTTTATCTATGGAGGCCTTTATAATGTCTTCTTCAATTTGATTTTTGTAACCCTTTCTTTTCTCCACATCCCAGTGCAGAGAAGCACATACTCCTCACGGCAGACTATTTCCTGTCTGGATTCAAAGACTCAACCATCATCCCTTAATTTTTTTCTCCTAAGATAGATAATTCTTAAGTGGGAATTTTCCCCATTGGTAAACCTGGGATTTCTTTGTTGTTTTTTTCTATTTAGTTGATAAGTTTTGTAACCCCCATTTTCTTCCCAGGTTACACAGAAGACGGCAACTCTCACATGCTGCTTGGAAACCTTATGTCATTAAGGATAACGGAGAACCTTGGGACCACAGCTGCGAGGGGGAATTAGATGGGTATCCTCTAGTCACCCCTCTGCAGTATTCCTATTACTCTTATGAATATTTATAGGTGGTGGTGCCGCACAGGGCCAGGCACTGTATACATTGGTGGGTGTACCTCCATTGCCTCCAGGAACACAAATATAAATAATGGCTCTTATGCAGACAATAAACGCCCAAAATAAAACCAATGCAAATTTACTTAAAATTTATCCTAACAACATACAATAGGAAGTGCAACAGGTTAATGTAGCTTAAGCTCTTAGTGCTGCAAGGGAAGAGCTAATGGCTGCAACTTCTAACAGCAAGCTGCAACATAACCCTAACCAACACTCATGGGTGGTGGGTGGAGCCCCCCTTCGGGGAGGCTAGCACCGGCTCCGCCCCTTCTGCCCATTCCCCCACGACCCGAGCCCCCTTCCCTCCCTTTGGCTGGAGGAGCTCCCCGCAGGCCGAAGCCCCGAGACCCCCGGGCCGGAGTCCCAGGCCACCTGCAGCCGGGCCATGCATCCCCTCTGCAGATCCCAAGTCACCTGGACAATAGCGTGTATCTCTCAGACACTCCTCCGGGAGAAGCTTTGCTATGCCCCATGCAGGCTCTGGAGCGGCTGAAGAGGTAGTATGTGCAACTCAGCTTCCTGGGTTCATCAGCAATCTCCCTTGAGTCCAGGGGCTGAAGCTGAATAGCACATACTGCCTCCTCAGCCACTCCAGCACCGGCATGGGGCATAATAAATCAAAAACTTCCCCCCAAAACTCTGCAACCGGGGATCCAGCGGCCACGGCAGTGCAAGGGGAGGCTGAGCCTCCCATGGCCTATTATACCCACCACCTGTGCCAACACTCTTACAGATAGATCTACCCTGTCCCTAAGTGAGCACTCTCCCTTACACTTCTAGTCCGGGCCCCTCTCTTGCAGCGGTGTGTTGGGCGAGCAGGAGTTCAGGTAGTGGCGGATTAGCCACTGGGCTGACGGGGCCCGTGCGCAGGGGCCCCGGTCAATTGGGGGACCCTGGAAAAAATCCACTGCCACATGGCAGAAGCCCAGAGGCCCGGAAGAAGCACTGGGTGGGGCAAGGCAAGCCCGAGTGCCCCGACCCCAGCTGCGACCCTGGAACCAGAGTAGCTCTTGCTCCCTGCATGGTCTCAGGGCTGGGGGAGCTCTCAGTCCCCACTGCGGTCCAGGGGACATGGCGGGGGGACGACAGAGCTTCTCTGGTCGGGGGGGGTGTGTGTGCACTGGATGAGGATTTAGGAGATAAGAGTTCAATGCCTGGCTCTGGCACAGAGTTCCTCTGTAAGTCACTTGGACCTAGACCCTCACAGGTATTTAGGCACCTAACTCCTCTTCATCTGCGCCTGAGTCCCCGCATCTTCCATAAAATCAAGGTAATACTATCAGCTTTTGTCTATTTAGTTTGTAAACTCGTGGTGGCAGGGCCCAGCTCTTACTACTGACCAAAAGAGCTCAGCACAGTGGGTATTCAGGGCTTTTGACAATCTGACTGCAAGGTGTACAGCATCTAGAACAACCACGTGCTGCCACAATACAAATAAGTAGTCATTACAAATGGATGTGTCCAATATCATTAAGTCTCACAAAGATTAAAAACAATGCAACAAATGTTCTATAGGTCTGTTCCTGATTGGGCTGTGTGCGCACATAACTCTCCTTACTTGATAAGCTTTGGCTGTCATTTGTTAGAATAAGCATCTTTTTACATAAGAGTCCATTTCAATTGCATTTGGCTTCCAGTTCCAAATACTATAATCCTGTTCAGTGAGTTTAGGCCACCTTATTTTCTTCATCTGAGCAGCAGCACGAGAGCCAGTAACACAAAGGTTGGAAGCAACAATGAAGAATCTTTTTAATCATAGAATCTCAGGGTTGGAAGGGACCTCAGCAGGTCATCTAGTCCAGCCCCCTGGTCAAAGCAGGATGAGTCCCCAATTTTTGCCCCAGATCCCTAAATGGCCCCCTCAGGGATTGAACTCACAACCCTGGGTTTAGCAGGCTAATGCTCAAACCACTGAGCTATCCCTCTCCCATCCATCCTTCTGTATGCCTCAGTAAATGCTGGTCCTGAGCAGCAGTGAAGAGAACTGAGTTCAGTTGCACTGCAGTATGCCCTGAAGTATGAGGATTGATAGCCCTTGCAATTGTCATCCTCACAAGTGTAAGTGCAGATGCTATAGAAACGAGCAAGATTCTGCTCTGCAGTCTTGCCAGAAAAAAAGCTAACTGTAGCACTTGGAATCTACCAAACACCTGCTTCATATAAACATGGCAGGGACTGAGACAATTCAGACAGGGATTGTTTCCCATAAGGAGCAGCTGTGCAGCACTATAGCGTGTAAATCACCAACAAAACAGAACTCCACTGGGGCTGAGACTGAGTCCACGCCAAAGACGTTTCTGTACAGCTTGATCAGCTTCCATGGGGAATGCCAGCAC